CATCCACAGAAGCGAATGGTTTTGCAGAAATACCGCCTGAGCGAAAATTCGCACCGGCAAACAATTTCGACAAAACCAAATTTTTGATCTAGAGCAATGAAGTTTTGTTCCAACAGGTGAACGATTCGACTCTAGCCGAGGGAACCATATATTGGACAAAAAAGGTTATTTTAGAACTCCTCAAACAAACAGTAGATGAGTATCTCATAAACCCTTTTTGTTTCTGTTTCCCGTCCTTCCTGTCCCGTCAACGAGAACGCTTGTTGTCCAGGACAAAGGAAGTATCAAATAAAGAAAAGTAATTTTATAGTTGTTGGTTTGCGGGAATAAAGTTGTGTTCTGAAAATAAACAACTGAAAGATCCCTTCGGACAACCTGTGTTACGAGTGAGCCCACTTTTGGTGGAGAGAATGGGTACATTGGAATAAGTTCCAATTCCTAAAACAGAAAGAAAAAATACTGATAGAATTCTTTCTCCCTCCTCTGTGAAATTCGCTTGCCATCTAGGACATCATAAAGGGCACTCGAATTTAGACACATTTTCCAACAAATGTTTGTTGCAGTATTAATTGGACAGTCACTAGCATGCGAGAATGCCCTTCATTTTGGGGCAAGGTGGGCCTATCTTGCCTGCTCGGGTAGCCAATCAGAACATAGGATTCGCTTAATCTTGCCCGTTCGAGGATTAAGTCATACGATAATTAGACAATGCTACATGACAGCTGGATCTGACCCGTCCCTAGTCGTCTTCGCGTAAAGCGCGGCGGGAGCAGGCGCTGATGGGAAGGGAGAAGAGAGGAAAGTGTCTCCCTTCCTCGCTTTCCTCCTTCCCATCACATACCGCGCGCCACTAGTGTGGGCTTGTGACAGACGACTGGGGACGAGTGAGTAGACGGCTCGCCAAAGGCATCCATCTGCAACAAATGAGGATTAGATAAAGCAAAATGGTCCACTTAAAACTCTGATGATATGATACATTTGTTTAAACAGCAGTCCAAAAATAATTAATGTTTTTCTATGCAGTAGTCACTGATTCCAGTTCGCCTGTAAACAAGCAGGCGTTAGAAACTGCAATTATTACTTACAGGAAATTTCAGAGGTATTATTTGCCCATGTTTTGTCAATTGTTAATAAAATCTGAGCTGCAAGTTTATCCAAATCTGACAGCGTCAATGACGTCACAATCAGACCTGCTATACTAAAATGAATCAGTTTTACATTAATGCCTCTTACGTTAGTTGGAATAAAATTTGATATCACATCATCTAATAACACTGCGATCGGATATACCATCAGCGCCCTTTTTATAATACATTTTATGCGTGCTATGGCGCAGCAGGAATACAAAATTCAAAGTTAACTCTAGGAATGCTTTTTGAACTAAACTAAATAGAGGGTGGAAGAAAGATATAGGCAAAGTGAAAACGTGTTTTTCCGTGCTTACCTTTCAGCTTATTATCAACGAGCCATTGGCGAGGCGGCAGCAGAATAGAGCCGCGCAAGACTTGGCAATAGGCAAAAAAATTCTCGATCGAGCTTCAAAAAGTGTAACCCGTAGCCTGATGTAATGTAGATTCCCCTGAGACCAATGGTGTGGCAGTTGTCAACCAATCAAAAGGCGTTACCTGGCGCACGGGCTGAAGTTGAATGTGGTGCGGTTTTAAAAATACAAAATTTCTTACAAGCTTCCTATGTTTATTTAACTGAACCTGGCCCCGGCAGTCAAGAAACATGAGTACCTGATTAATTGGTTTAATTTTGGGGGCCATCAATGTAAAGTTTTAACGAAGAAAAGCTTGTAAAACGATAAAAGTGTTCCATGTGAAACAAGCAATTCTCACCACACTAAAAAGGATCAGATTACACGAGGAGAAAGCTTGATACGAAGAATATAGTCACTTCTGTTGGAAAAATCTGATGTTGAGGAAAAAATCTAAACAGCAAACAAAAAACTAAGAAAAAAACAAGAATTACAAGCCTAAAGCGAACGACAGAGGAAAAGAAAACAACTCTATCTGTTTCGAAACCCACAGGTAACCCAGGCTCTGTGATAGTACCACAGTACGGTTCCAGTAAAATTACAGTGTTTGTATGGGGTAAAAATATCATCCTAAAATTTCTAGGAAATACTAAATAAAGATCAATAAAACTTACTCTGCAGTTAATTGTTGTTGTCCTTATTGCTCCAACGAAGTTTCGTGATAATTTGCAGTAATTTGTTTAAATTCACTCTATCTGCAATAATAATATACAAGGTAGCAAACACGAGGTGCCATTTTCGCCGACATGCTCTCATTCAACACAACTTTTTCCACGAAATTCGAACTCCAACGGAAAATAAACATGCCAAGATCGTAGAAATAGGGTAGTAGCAGATATAGAAACCAATGAAGCTTTCCCAGATAGAGAAACGAATCCCACAGACTTTGACAAACTCGAAGAATATAATCCAAACAGACCGAGAATATGCTCGCCAAAGCAGCCGGGCCAGATCAACACGCGGCCAAGAAAATGAGGCCTGGGCACTGTATAAAAAAATTCCATCCCGGGGTTCCTGGGGTGACCTTTCTAGGGACCGATACATCATTTGCCCAAAGCTACCCTCCCCTACTGGAAAAATACTTGATAGAAGGCAATTGTTCTTCCTAGCCGATCACTATTTGCCAGAGCAAACCCCGCACACGCGCCTAAATTTAAATGGCTAAAAAAAAAATACAATCAGGAGAGTCTGCGGACTTACAAGGCGTCCCATTTCTTTTACTAAGGAATGCAAATAACAGTAATGAAACTAATGAAATAACAACGCGAAATACTTACAAGGCGGGCTGAAAACACGGTTGAACAAAAGGTAGATGATGACTGAGATACTGTTGCTATGAACTCTTGAGCGAAACTATCGTAAATAAACGGTGAAGCTTACAAACTAATGTCAAAAATTATACAGAAAATTGCGACAGAATATGAATTGCGATAACTGAGACGAATGTGAAAGGCATGTGCACCAGTAAACAAAGAACTAGCGCGATTAACATATTTAGCGATTAATGCGGCAGTAACACGCCGACTTCCTGTCAATACAAGTGAACGCTCTATCGGTTAAATATGTGAATCATCGTGATACACCTCTCTTTGAATTTGGTCCTGTTGTACAAATGCCTCGGTAAGAGCCAAAATTCAATTATATCTTTTACTCGTCTTAAGTTTTGTAAATCCCCCTTCGTTGTTCTTTCCTTTGCCCCTATAACCTTGCCCTATTGATGTTTGATAAACTTTCTGAGGACCAGTGCCAGGCGCTGAATATAGTTCGAGAGGGACATAATCTATCTATAACAGGCCAGGGTGGTACGGCTAGGAAGAACAATTGCCTTCTATTAAGTATTTTTTCAGCGGGGTAGGGTGGCTTTGGGCAAATGATGTATCGGTGCCCAGAAAGGTCACCTCAGGACTCCTGGGATGATTTTTTTTGTACAGTGCCCAGGCCTCATTTTCTTGGCCGTGCGTTGATCTGGCCCGGCTGCTTCGGCGAGCATATTCTCGGTCTGTTTGGATTATATTCTTCGAGTTTGTCAAAGTCTGTGGGATTCGTTTCTCTATCTGGGAAAGCTTCATTGGTTTCTATATCTGCTGCTATCCTATTTCTACGATCCTGGCATGTTTATTTTCCGTTGGAGTTCGAATTTCGTGGAAAAAGTTGTGTTGAATGAGAGCATGTCGGCGAAAATGGCACCTCGTGTTTGCTACCTTGTATATTATTATTGTAGATAGAGTGAATTTAAACAAATTACTGCAAATTATCACGAAACTTCGTTAGAGCAATAAGGACAACAACAATTAACGCAGAGTAAGTTTTATTGATCTTTATTTAGTATTTCCTAGAAATTTTAGGATGATATTTTTACCCCATACAAACACTGTAATCTTACTGGAACCGTACTGTGGTACTATCACAGAGCCTGGGTTACCTGTGGAAACCTGGCCGAGTTATGAAATGAATACCGACGTGCCGTACATCACATGTCCTAGTAAACATTTCAAACAGCGCAGCGAATCATTTTAAGTTTCAATCGGGTAACAACTAGCCTCGGGAAATTTGAAACGGGGTTCAAATGGTTAAACTGCAGAAATATTTATCTACAAAGTGAAACCGAACCGACAGTAATTAAATTTTGTAGCTGCACTGGTAAGAGAAATGATCATGCTTATTTCCCACTAAATAAGCAATTCCTTTCTTCTGCAAATAAAAGATCCCCGTCATGACACTTCAAACTATAATATAGCAGGTTCGTAAAGCCACAGGAGTCTGAGGACTGACTCTTCTCCGGAACCTTGATACATGCATGACACCTTTTTATTGACAGTGAAGAAAATAATCCTTGCAAAAGGTAGGGACCAAGAAACTGTCAAATGTGGAAAAAAAAGGAATGCCATTCCTATGCCGGCAAAATACGCATGATTTGCTCGTTGGCACTATATCGATAGGTATACCTAGTGCAGTAGTTAAAAAATATATATTTTTTAGTTTGTTATTATAAACTATCCTAATTAGCCCAATAAGATGCGAAAACGAAGACGAACTGATTAGACTAAAGAAACAGCTGTACCTACACTGTACATATAAAATGCCACTTGGGGTGTAGGACAGTCGGTGCGCAAAAGGAAAAAAGAGGAAAACACTGCATTTTATGTCTCTGTCACTTAACTGGAAAAAGTAAAATTAGTAAGAAATACATTACACAAAAAGAATCAAATTTTACACGGTCAGGCCCGTTTCAGATCAAAGCCGAACGTTTCATGAGCTGAACCTAAACTTGAATTAAGTAAATGGTAAGTTTGGCGTCTGAATCAATAAGGAACGCAGCGCATATTTCAATTTCTCACGGCTTGGCCATTCTTCCCTCCTAACCCGGCTAGAAGTTTCGACTTTGGTTCAGAGGCCGAACTTTTCATGTGCCGAACTAAATGTATAAATTATTATTAAAGTATTTGCGGTACTACTTAGCTCAGCTTAAGAAAATACAGAACCGGCTGATTGTATCTTTTACTACTCTCCTTACTTCTCTGATCCTCCAACAGTAAAGGAGCGGATTCAATGTTGAGTTTAAGTAAACTACAGTTCCTGTATACTGCCTGGCAAGATAAATTGACAAAGGCATCCCCCTTTGAGGTGTTAACGCCGCCACTACAGCAAACGGCAGATAACAAACAACCAATGTTACCTGTATCCAGATCGCACTGTACACTACCTTTCTGTATCGAACTATGTTCAGTGGAATTGATTGGCTCGGTTGTCTTTGACGTATCTGAATCTGGTTACGCCGCAAAGTAAAAAAAATTTTTGTGTAAGCGAAAACTGAGGTGACTAGACACACACATATGCCTAGGTGATAAAACCACAACCTTATGCGAGGATCCCAAAAATTGCCTGCCGTGATCAAAAAGGACAGAACCCAGATAGAGATTACAGCTACAAGTGTTCTCTTAAATGTTACAAAATTTCTGTATCTGAGCCCCAGTGACAACGCCAGGAGTCTGTCCACGCTTATTGCAGTTGATATTGCCAAAGACACTGAGCATAAAGTGTTGCTTAGGATAAAATTTGCCTTAGTCGCGTAATAGCAAATATTCCATCTTTGCTTCACCACAGACATCCAATGGACAACGCTCGTAGGCCCTACAATGACACCAACACAGATATCAGTTGTCGCCAAGCTACCAAACAAAACTTTGGAAGGAAGATGAAGCGAAGACACCTTAGGCAGAGCTACTAGGATCAGAGTGTTGCCCAGAGACGCGGTAATGGACAGAAAAATATTTAACACTGAAATAAAAATCAACTCGCTGTGTACTTTTCCAGTGAACTCTCCAGAGCAATAAAGTTCAGTTGTTAATTTCTGGCTTACTCCTCCAGTAAAATTTTTTAACATCATTTGTTCTTTTTAAATTTGAGTTTCGAGTGCGCAATCCTACGTTGCAAGAGTTTGCTGTATTCGATATTAATCTCCTTTTTCCTTGGTATGCTCCGCACGGCTGTTATGCCACGTGACAAACCAGCTGCAAAAGGGACATTCAAAGGCAAAATCAAACATTTCATAATAAAAGTAAATATGGCAATTTGGTGTGCGAGAAATACTAATCATAATAATGATAGTAATCATCTTTATCTAACGAGGGTAATACGGGACAGTACTTCAACTGAATAACTAGTGGCCCTCAAACTAAAACTATAAAACTAAAATTAAGTAACCAAAAAAACATATCGTTAAAGAAAAAAAACTGTAAGTATATATATGAAAAAGACTACAAAGAGTGAAAACTATATTACAATTATAAAATATCCTTACAGTGAATATCTACAAACTATAATTACAATAAAACTACAACTAGGATGGGTCAAGCGAGAGGAAGGTTGTGAAATGCCGGATTAGCATCAGAAATTTTCTGACATCCGGTCATGCATGTGCAGAAGTTACAAATATCACTGCTCATGCGCATAACGGATTTTTGTCCCTTATCGCTCCACTGGGGAAAACGTTTTACTTCCTGAGCTCTCTCCAGCGAGTGGCTTCTTTGGGCTATTTTGAAAATACAGATTTCACTCAACTAGAATAAGGAGAAAACATTAACAAAAACCAGCTGAACACACAGTATACCGTTGCGGAACTGAGATAATTAATCTGCAGATTATCCGGCGTCTGAGTTTTATATGTGAGCTCACGTTTACCGAAAACAAACACTGGGAAAGCAATATCGTGGAGATCGAAAGTCAGTCTAAATAAAATTGTATCTTGTTCCATGTCCTGCAAATGCTATCTTATTTCAAAACGCCTTTTGAAACGAAACAATTCACGTGTTATGTCATTAAGTGAATAGGAAAATAAAATATATTTATTCGTTTCATCCCACCTAGTTATGTTTTTCCTATATGTTTATTTCCTTTTGAGACGTCGAATGATAGGTTTTAATTTTGCTCATGAGCTTTTGTGAACAACTTGAGTCAAGACAACCGAGGGCTTATGTCAAAACAAATCAATACTAATCATTTTGCTGTCGCAAACAGGGTAAAAAACAATACAAACTTTGTCCAGGAGAAGTGACAGCTTTCTAGAGGGGAGTGATGGATAACTGAGAAAGTCTCTTACACTTGCATGGACTAGAAAACTGAGTGAATCAAATTCCAGTTCAGTTCTTTCTGTAAAACAACCCTAACTGAAATTTGACTCATTCAGTTTCCTAACCCGAATCATGAGACTTAAGGGTCATTTGGTGTTTATGGTGGCCAATCAGTGTTTTGCTAAAGCGGACCTTTATCTATCAGGGGTTTATCCTCCTAAAGGTTTCAGTTATCATCTCCTAACTGAATACCATCATTAGTACCTCAAAGAGCGAGTTTTCAATAATTTTGCTGTCAAACGGAGAAAATCGTGAACACCTGAAAATTTTAAGGAATGATGATTGTGTGACCATAAAGTTCAGGACACACGAGTAAACCTCAAAGGAGTAAGGAGTTTTCAGGGTTTTTTTTTCTTTCCAAAAAAGGAGGGGCTTATATCCAAGGGGCTTATAACTGGAACAGAAAAAGCGATTCGAAACAAAATACTTTTTGCATTTACTGGTTTCTAACTAAGCTTCAAAATGTAATAGTGGAAGCTTAGGGGAGGGCTTATCACCTGGAGGGCCATTTTTTCTTGTTTACCGGTGGTCTCCCACGCAGGCGTTTTTAGGGGAGGGATGAAAAACGAGCACCCCTAAAAACGCCTGCGTGGGAGGCTAGTTTACCGGTAGATTGGCTTATAACTGAGGGGGCTTATAAATTGGGGGACGGGGGAGGCTTAAAAGTAGTAGTTTATGGTAGCCTGTTCCAGACATTCAGGTATTGGGGAATGCACAAAGAGAAAAAAAATTACCCTGCAATTTTTAATGCTCTATTTCTCACTATCCTAAGGCCTACAACAGGTTATCATAAGCTATACAGCTGTACGTTCTTATCTAGAACAGTGAAATGTAGAGTGATGTACACTTTATATAGATCAGACTGTATGCTTTAGAAGACCCCATTGAGAAGACTACTTTGAGTATCACACAACCCAAAAGCATTTTCTTGGGTAGCTGCTCTCTTCATGCCTTGAGAGTGGGGTGCAAGGCCTGGTTTGAAATTGGGAATAGAATTTTGGATCAGACTTGAAATTGGGTAGGGAAAATCACATACAGTCCACTCCCGCTAATTCGAGCCTTCAAGGGAAATAGAAAAAAAGTTCGAGTTATCGGGAGTTCGAATTATCGAGGGCAAAATCATATAGAAAATGATCTGAAGGGAAATGAAAATTGGTTCAAGTTAGCGGGAGGTTCGAGTTATAGAGAGTTCGAGTTACCTGAACTGATTTTTTGAGGGTAGTACAGTTGTATTGAAACTGAATGTAGTGCTTTATAGAGTTAAAGTACAATATCTGCTCACAGCTATAATTGTTTAATTGTTTAGTTCCCTTAAAATTGATTATTTTGTGTTATAATATGAGGGTTTCCATCTAGGAAAGAGTTTTACCGGAAGTAAATCTGCAATGACCAGTGGAAGCAAGTTTTCGCCAATCCGTTTGGCTTATTATATGTCAATAACCAAGTAAACTTTAAAGATGCCCTATGCTTCAGTAAGCTAAGGCTGTGTGCAAACTCAAGGAGGGGGTGGAGTTTAGCCCACAATGAAGGTAAACATTCTTTGTCAAGGCTCGTGGTTCTCATAGAAACTTCTCAAGCTTGACCTTCAATTCTCTTTTTCTCTGCTTTTACATTGCATTCAATTACAAACAAAACCGGATTGTCGCGATCGACGTAAATCAGACACGGATTTCATGTTTGCAGTTCGAAAGGGCAGGAAGTATAGATTTTCCAACTGTACATAATAAATGTTACTACAGCCTTTAAAAAACGGTCGCACATGTGTTTTATTCAAACGCGCACATGACCTAAACGCATTTTCTCTGCAAGAGGACGCTCCAAACACGATCAGTTTCAGTTATTCTTTCATCATTACGTGACACCTGCAAGTTAGCGACATTGCTTGACCAAAAAAGTCGATACTGTTGTGAAAACATGCAAACTTGTCACCAGTTCGGTTAGTATAAAGCTGTTTCATTTTCGATGCTTTTATAATGTTCTGATCAGAAAATTTTAAACGTGGTAAAGAACCGGGAAATTGGATGCAAAAAAAGAACAAAACGAAACGAAATTTATTAAAGGGATCTCTAGCCAATTTAAACAACTTTCCTTTTGTGAAACTGTGCGTTGAAATTGTCTTTGTTTGCATGTACTAATTGAGTTGGGAACCATGAAAAGTTCCGCTGTTTGAATCAACAGTCAAATTTCAAACAACATGGCTCATGAATCACGAAGTTTTAAGAGGACGTTACCTAGTTAAGCTAACTTTTTAAAAACATGTTTTTATAAAAAGACTGAATGTTCTATTAGTTATAAAATTATTTCACTGTTATGTTATCCCATTGGCACAAGGAGGAAATAATTCTAATGTTCTTCTTACTCTTCTTCTATGCACTTTTAGATGCTTTCAGGTACTTTATCGATGACTTTTATGCTTGGGGAAGATATTTAGACTAACAAAACTGTCGATACCAGGTTACTCACCTTGTACAAAGCCTAATTATAGCATTGCTTACAGGACGAACTTTCACGAAAATATACCAAGACTAGCTTTAAGAGTGTTGTATTAAACACCTGCGGCCACAGGAGCCCTTAGCTGACTACTAACAAGAATAAATAAGCACGAATAACTCTTTCTTAATGGTGAACGAGATTGCCGAGCTAGTGACGCTACAACATTTTAAGTCAATCGGACGTCAATATAAGTTTTTATCTCCATTGCCAATATAAATATTATTGCACCAAACTTGCAATCAGCTAAAGTTGGCTATAGCTGATGTCACACAGTGTGTCATATCAATGCGAATATGTCAAAAGTTTAAAAAGACAGCAAGTTTCACTTTTCCCAATAAAGCATCTTGAAATTGCTTAAGAATGTAATAATCTTTCCTGGACTCCAGTAAAGTGTAATGTGTTAAGCACCATGAGGGCACACATCTACCAATGAAATGGTTACCGTTTAGATAAACTTTTCTATCCTTTTTTAGATTCTCAGAATTCACGGAATTATTTCATCGGACGGTTAAACCTATATCGCTCATAATAAAAACAATGTTTCTCCAACATTTTTTGTTTTTCTAGCCTTTTCTATGTCTAGGTTTTAGTTTAAGTTTATAATACTAAAGACTTGCTGTAAATTTTGATTTGCTAGCCTTTTTGATACCTTATTCTATTAGCCCGTGTATAGACGTCCCCCTCTCCTCAGAAAAAATCTCTCTCCCCGATTTTTAATTTTTTGAAGGGAGGGGGCGTCTATTTTAAGGCTATACCCTTTATTCTTTTGTATAAAGTGTTAGATCGTTAGAATCGACTGTTTGTGATTTTTTTCTTTTTTTGGACATGTTTTTTTTTTCAAGAAACAGTTAAGACCGAATATAATTATCAAACGGTTTTTTATTAATAATAAATCTCTCAAAATTTTTACCTCAACTAATCTAGATGGCTTTCTAATTTTTATAAAGTTGCTTAACAACCCCACCATTCTGCCGCCTCTGCGTTATTTGACTAAACTGACGTCGAGGGCACAACTAGATTAGATAAGCAGGAGATCCTTCACAACACGAATTTGTCAGCAAAGGTGAAAAATGTTGTAGAGAAAATACGTGAGCAAACGTCGAGTCTTTTATAAACGTCTACACAAAGTTCCTGTATACAACTGTACTAATTATGATATAACTTGTTCCGCCCACACAGTTCTAGTTACTAGAACTGCTTCGCAATGACAGCAATAACTGTGTAATTAGTGGTATAGCGTTAAAAGCGCTGTAGCTGTCACAGTCGAGAAAGCTAAAACAGATAAAAACATATTAATTTAATACACGTATTGTTTCGGAAACTATGTAAATAAAGCACAAGGGAAGCTTTTTTGCTTCGGTTTGTGGGAAAAAAAAACCCCCATTAAGCTTTCATCAGGCTGCAAATAATTAATGTATTAAATAACAAATGCAAAAACTATCACACGTACACACAAAATTGAAATCGAGAGAAGAATTTCTCCAAATATTCTTTTCCTGAAAGTTATTCTGTTTTCACAAATTCAAATAAGTGGATTGAAAGTGCGAACCTAAGATTTTATGCAAAATACCTGGTACTGAAAAGAAAGGGATAAAATTTATCGAATACTCAGAGCCACCTGCTAAAACAGATGTCGGCCAAGACAGTCGAAAATAAAGTTAACACAGCCCGGAAGAAGATCTGCCTTTGATATACAAACTGACGTTTATATTCACATCCCCCGTGCGTCAATAATAATTTAAATTGGACTTTTCGATGGGATGAACGTTTTAGTTCATTAATTGTTAACAGTTGTAAGAAGTTCCAAAAAAAATAATAATATGTTAAAATAATTAACTTTCACGTCATACCTTATATGTCATTTCTCTAGGACTAAGTAACACCTTTAGAGCTCTGCGAAACTGACTCTATAAAGCTAATACGTTCTGTAATATCCCCTCACCAGGTGGTTGTAAGAACATATGACGTAGACATGAACCATTAAGAGGGCACGAATCTCTAAAATCACCTGAGAAATTAATTACTAAATATCGCTCAAAACGTCAAAAGAAGGAATAATAAACGGCACAGCAAATACAAAAGGAGCCAGGGATGGACAAACTTGAAGACGATTGAAAGGGATTGAAATTTTGGTTTTTGAAAACTTGCTAGCCTAACGGCTTTTCAGAGTTCGTTTTTGTTGTTTATAACGTTTGATATAATACTTGGGAGACAAGATTGACTAATTGGCGTGCGTGGGTGGGTAGTGCGTCGTGGGTCGTGGGTCGTGGGTCGTGGGTCGTGGGTCGTGGGTCGTGCGTCGTACGTCGTGCGTGATAGCTCATGCCTCTTTGACAAGACTCTTGCTCGTAGAATTTGAAGACACCGTCTTCCTTTACACGACCCTTCGCATTTATGAAAAATTTTCTCCGATAAAAATCAGTTAAGCAAATTTATCAGCGAAATATGTTCTCCCCGGTCCTCTCCCATTTTCTCGTATGCTCCTCGCACACTCTGCGTTCTTAATGAAATGCACATTCGTCCAAGAAAACCACTTCCGGTTAAAAGAAAACTCTAAGATAATCGCGGCTTTTGTTTGACATTCTATCTCGCTGGAAAAAAAACTTCCAGTATGTTTTTTGGACCAAATTAGGCACTAAGTTTAGGGAAGACAATTCCATAAAAAAAATTACGACCAATCATCACCATTTATTAATAAACACTTCAATTCTACCTTTGAACCTAATCACAGATCTAGTGGCAGTCTGTGTATAGAAGTTTTAACTTGGGCTGATCAAAATTGTTCCTAGGCCCGGTAAATACACTTTCAGGGAAAATCACTGGGTGTGAAAACGTTCGTGCCCTCAATTTTCCGGGCTTTTTCTGTAAGTTATTCATAGATGATATTAAATAATCTCATTATGAAATTGCCAATTTCATAACGAGATTATTTTTTGGTTTGTTTTTGATACCTTTACACCTAACTCGCGTACCCAGTTTTTCGCCTTTAATGTTAATCATTTGCACGAATTTTCACCACTTCACCACCTCTGCTAGCAAATTTCCTCGGATACTAAAAGTTGTGATAAAAAAATGCAGGCCGCACCAACTAACAAATAATGAAAGCGTGTTAATATTGTAAGGAGAGAGTTTCCCATGAATTCTCTATCTGCCTCGGATTTCTTGTCTGGCTTTTAGGTGTTGCCTTTGAAGTTGTCAGTTTTAGCCGTAATTTACATTGAATTTGCATTGAAATGTTTTAGTTCTTTTAAATTATACACATTTCTCTTTCAATGTTGTAGTAATTAATTTCTGAATAATTATACAGTTTAGTCACTGAATAACTGGATCTTTGGCCTCTTCAAATACCAACCGTCCGTAGTTTTAAGTTTTGACATTTTAACGAAACCTGAGCAAAGGAAACTAGAATTCTTTTGCACAGCTTTACTGCTGAATCTTTGGAAGTTTTCGAAATTCATTTCCTTGACTGAAATTTAATTTTGAGTCATTTACTTTAGCACATAAACTTTAAAGCTGAATTTATACAGATTTGTTTTTAGTTTTCAGCTGATTCAGCCCTCTTTCCACCGGTTTTGTGATGTTGTAATAGGTTGATCGGTTAGTAAAAATACAGCACTGTTATCCCTGTTTTTCGATTTACATTGCGGATTTACATGGATGATTTACATTTTGGATGCACATATATGTATGATTTACGTCCACGAGCTGAAGATTAAACTGTTGTAGTCCAAGCTTGAGTGCTGTCCTGTTTCCAGTTGTAGCAGATCCTATAGTACCTTGGAATAGTGACGAGTTCCTTTCCCACTAGCCAAACGAGTTGCTGAGTTAGTTTTCCCCTTTGTTGTTCATACGCCGAAGCTGCTCGAATTCTCTTAACGCTTATTTCTCCGATAGGTGCTTGTAAGGGCAAAACCTATCGGGGGTGTTACGAAAACTTAGACCTCGAAAACACAGACCTCAGACCCCAAGAAACTCAGACCCCTGAAAAACTCAGACCCCTGGGTGCCTCGAAAACTCAGACTCCCGAAAATCTCACACCCCTCGGTGTCTCGAAAATTCCGACCCTCAATATTTTTCGAATATTACAACTAACTGTAGTCCGCGAGCAGCCTCTCTCTCTTTCCCATCCACAGAAGCGAATGGTTTTGCAGACATACCGCCTGAGCGAAAATTCGCACCGGCAAACAATTTCGACAAAACCAAATTTTTGATCTAGAGCAATGAAGTTTTGTTCCAACAGGTGAACGATTCGACTCTAGCCGAGGGAACCATATATTGGACAAAAAAGGTTATTTTAGAACTCCTCAAACAAACAGTAGATGAGTATCTCATAAACCCTTTTTGTTTCTGTTTCCCGTCCTTCCTGTCCTGTCAACGAGAACGCTTGTTGTCCAGGACAAAGGAAGTATCAAATAAAGAAAAGTAATTTTATAGTTGTTGGTTTGCGGGAATAAAGTTATGTTCTGAAAATAAACAACTGAAAGATCCCTTCGGACAACCTGCGTTACGAGTGAGCCCACTTTTGGTGGAGAGAATGGGTACATTGGAAAAAGTTCCAATTCCTAGAACAGAAAGAAAAAATACTGATAGAATTCTTTCTCCCTCCTCTGTGAAATTCGCTTGCCATCAAGGACATCATAAATGGCACTCGAATATAGACACATTTTCCAACAAATGTTTGTTGCAGTATTAATTGGACAGTCACTAGCATGCGAGAATGCCCTTCATTTTGGGGCAAGGTGGGCCTATCTTGCCTGCTCGGGTAGCCAATCAGAACATAGGATTCGCTTAATCTTGCGACTAGTGTGGGCTTGTGACAGACGACTGGGGACGAGTGAGTAGACGGCTCGCCAAAGGCATCCATCTGCGACAAATGAGGATTAGATAAAGCAAAATGGTCCACTTAAAACTCTGATGATATGATACATTTGTTTAAACAGCAGTCCAAAAATAATTAATGTTTTTCTATGCAGTAGTCACTGATTCCAGTTCGTCTGTAAACAAGCAGGCGTTAGAAACTGCAATTATTACTTACAGGAAATTTCAGAGGTATTATTTGCCCATGTTTTGTCAATTGTTAATAAAATCTGAGCTGCAAGTTTATCCAAATCTGACAGCGTCAATGACGTCACAATCAGACCTGCTATACTAAAATGAATCAGTTTTACATTAATGCCTCTTACGTTAGTTGGAATAAAATTTGATATCACATCATCTAATAACACTGCGATCGGATATACCATCAGCGCCCTTTTTATAATACATTTTATGCGTGCTATGGCGCAGCAGGAATACAAAATTCAAAGTTAACTCTAGGAATGCTTTTTGAACTAAACTAAATAGAGGGTGGAAGAAAGATATAGGCAAAGTGAAAACGTGTTTTTCCGTGCTTACCTTTCAGCTTATTATCAACGAGCCATTGGCGAGGCGGCAGCAGAATAGAGCCGCGCAAGACTTGGCAATAGGCAAAAAAATTCTCGATCGAGCTTCAAAAAGTGTAACCCGTAGCCTGATGTAATGTAGATTCCCCTGAGACCAATGGTGTGGCAGTTGTCAACCAATCAAAAGGCGTTACCTGGCGCACGGGCTGAAGTTGAATGTGGTGCGGTTTTAAAAATACAAAATTTCTTACAAGCTTCCTATGTTTATTTAACTGAACCTGGCCCCGGCAGTCAAGAAACATGAGTACCTGATTAATTGGTTTAATTTTGGGGGCCATCAATGTAAAGTTTTAACGAAGAAAAGCTTGTAAAACGATAAAAGTGTTCCATGTGAAACAAGCAATTCTCACCACACTAAAAAGGATCAGATTACACGAGGAGAAAGCTTGATACGAAGAATATAGTCACTTCTGTTGGAAAAATCTGATGTTGAGGAAAAAATCTAAACAGCAAACAAAAAACTAAGAAAAAAACAAGAATTACAAGCCTAAAGCGAACGACAGAGGAAAAGAAAACAACTCTATCTGTTTCGAAACCCACAGGTAACCCAGGCTCTGTGATAGTACCACAGTACGGTTCCAGTAAAATTACAGTGTTTGTATGGGGTAAAAATATCATCCTAAAATTTCTAGGAAATACTAAATAAAGATCAATAAAACTTACTCTGCAGTTAATTGTTGTTGTCCTTATTGCTCCAACGAAGTTTCGTGATAATTTGCAGTAATTTGTTTAAATTCACTCTATCTGCAATAATAATATACAAGGTAGCAAACACGAGGTGCCATTTTCGCCGACATGCTCTCATTCAACACAACTTTTTCCACGAAATTCGAACTCCAACGGAAAATAAACATGCCAAGATCGTAGAAATAGGGTAGTAGCAGATATAGAAACCAATGAAGCTTTCCCAGATAGAGAAACGAATCCCACAGACTTTGACAAACTCGAAGAATATAATCCAAACAGACCGAGAATATGCTCGCCAAAGCAGCCGGGCCAGATCAACACGCGGCCAAGAAAATGAGGCCTGGGCACTGTATAAAAAAATTCCATCCCGGGGTTCCTGGGGTGACCTTTCTAGGGACCGATACATCATTTGCCCAAAGCTACCCTCCCCTACTGGAAAAATACTTGATAGAAGGCAATTGTTCTTCCTAGCCGATCACTATTTGCCAGAGCAAACCCCGCACACGCGCCTAAATTTAAATGGCTAAAAAAAAAATACAATCAGGAGAGTCTGCGGACTTACAAGGCGTCCCATTTCTTTTACTAAGGAATGCAAATAACAGTAATGAAACTAATGAAATAACAACGCGAAATACTTACAAGGCGGGCTGAAAACACGGTTGAACAAAAGGTAGATGATGACTGAGATACTGTTGCTATGAACTCTTGAGCGAAACTATCGTAAATAAACGGTGAAGCTTACAAACTAATGTCAAAAATTATACAGAAAATTGCGACAGAATATGAATTGCGATAACTGAGACGAATGTGAAAGGCATGTGCACCAGTAAACAAAGAACTAGCGCGATTAACATATTTAGCGATTAATGCGGCAGTAACACGCCGACTTCCTGTCAATACAAGTGAACGCTCTATCGGTTAAATATGTGAATCATCGTGATACACCTCTCTTTGAATTTGGTCCTGTTGTACAAATGCCTCGGTAAGAGCCAAAATTCAATTATATCTTTTACTCGTCTTAAGTTTTGTAAATCCCCCTTCGTTGTTCTTTCCTTTGCCCCTATAACCTTGCCCTATTGATGTTTGATAAACTTTCTGAGGACCAGTGCCAGGCGCTGAATATAGTTCGAGAGGGACATAATCTCTTTATAACAGGCCAGGGTGGTACGGCTAGGAAGAACAATTGCCTTCTATTAAGTATTTTTTCAACGGGGTAGGGTGGCTTTGGGCAAATGATGTATCGGTGCCCAGAAAGGTCACCTCAGGACTCCTGGGATGATTTTTTTTGTACAGTACCCAGGCCTCATTTTCTTGGCGGTGCGTTGATCTGGCCCGGCTGCTTCGGCGAGCATATTCTCGGTCTGTTTGGATTATATTCTTCGAGTTTGTCAAAGTCTGTGGGATTCGTTTCTCTATCTGGGAAAGCTTCATTGGTTTCTATATCTGCTGCTATCCTATTTCTACGATCCTGGCATGTTTATTTTCCGTTGGAGTTCGAATTTCGTGGAAAAAGTTGTGTTGAATGAGAGCATGTCGGCGAAAATGGCACCTCGTGTTTGCTACCTTGTATATTATTATTGCAGATAGAGTGAATTTAAACAAATTACTGCAAATTATCACGAAACTTCGTTGGAGCAATAAGGACAACAACAATTAACGCAGAGTAAGTTTTATTGATCTTTATTTAGTATTTCCTAGAAATTTTAGGATGATATTTTTACCCCATACAAACACTGTAATCTTACTGGAACCGTACTGTGGTACTATCACAGAGCCTGGGTTACCTGTGGAAACCTGGCCGAGTTATGAAATGAATACTCACATGTCCTAGTAAACATTTCAAACAGCGCAGCAAATCATTTTAAGTTTCAATCGGGTAACAACTAGCCTCGGGAAATTTGAAACGGGGTTCAAATGGTTAAACTGCAGAAATATTTATCTACAAAGTGAAACCGAACCGACAGTAATTAAATTTTGTAGCTGCACTGGTAAGAGAAATGATCATGCTTATTTCCCACTAAATAAGCAATTCCTTTCTTCTGCCAATAAAAGATCCCCGTCATGACACTTCAAACTATAATATAGCAGGTTCGTAAAGCCACAGGAGTCTGAGGACTGACTCTTCTCCGGAACCTTGATACATGCATGACACCTTTTTATTGACAGTGAAGAAAATAATCCTTGCAAAAGGTAGGGACCAAGAAACTGTCAAATGTGGAAAAAAAAGGAATGCCATTCCTATGCCGGCAAAATACGCATGATTTGCTCGTTGGCACTATATCGATAGGTATACCTAGTGCAGTAGTTAAAAAATATATATTTTTTAGTTTGTTATTATAAACTATCCTAATTAGCCCAATAAGATGCGAAAACGAAGACGAACTGATTAGACTAAAGAAACAGCTGTACCTACACTGTACATATAAAATGCCACTTGGGGTGTAGGACAGTCGGTGCGCAAAAGGAAAAAAGAGGAAAACACTGCATTTTATGTCTCTGTCACTTAACTGGAAAAAGTAAAATTAGTAAGAAATACATTACACAAAAAGAATCAAATTTTACACGGTCAGGCCCGTTTCAGATCAAAGCCGAACGTTTCATGAGCTGAACCTAAACTTGAATTAAGTAAATGGTAAGTTTGGCGTCTGAATCAATAAGGAACGCAGCGCATATTTCAATTTCTCACGGCTTGGCCATTCTTCCCTCCTAACCCGGCTAGAAGTTTCGACTTTGGTTCAGAGGCCGAACTTTTCATGTGCCGAACTAAATGTATAAATTATTATTAAAGTATTTGCGGTACTACTTAGCTCAGCTTAAGAAAATACAGAACCGGCTGATTGTATCTTTTACTACTCTCCTTACTTCTCTGATCCTCCAACAGTAAAGGAGCGGATTCAATGTTGAGTTTAAGTAAACTACAGTTCCTGTATACTGCCTGGCAAGATAAATTGACAAAGGCATCCCCCTTTGAGGTGTTAACGCCGCCACTACAGCAAACGGCAGATAACAAACAACCAATGTTACCTGTATCCAGATCGCACTGTACACTACCTTTCTGTATCGAACTATGTTCAGTGGAATTGATTGGCTCGGTTGTCTTTGACGTATCTGAATCTGGTTACGCCGCAAAGTAAAAAAAATTTTTGTGTAAGCGAAAACTGAGGTGACTAGACACACACATATGCCTAGGTGATAAAACCACAACCTTATGCGAGGATCCCAAAAATTGCCTGCCGTGATCAAAAAGGACAGAACCCAGATAGAGATTACAGCTACAAGTGTTCTCTTAAATGTTACAAAATTTCTGTATCTGAGCCCCAGTGACAACGCCAGGAGTCTGTCCACGCTTATTGCAGTTGATATTGCCAAAGACACTGAGCATAAAGTGTTGCTTAGGATAAAATTTGCCTTAGTCGCGTAATAGCAAATATTCCATCTTTGCTTCACCACAGACATCCAATGGACAACGCTCGTAGGCCCTACAATGACACCAACACAGATATCAGTTGTCGCCAAGCTACCAAACAAAACTTTGGAAGGAAGATGAAGCGAAGACACCTTAGGCAGAGCTACTAGGATCAGAGTGTTGCCCAGAGACGCGGTAATGGACAGAAAAATATTTAACACTGAAATAAAAATCAACTCGCTGTGTACTTTTCCAGTGAACTCTCCAGAGCAATAAAGTTCAGTTGTTAATTTCTGGCTTACTCCTCCAGTAAAATTTTTTAACATCATTTGTTCTTTTTAAATTTGAGTTTCGAGTGCGCAATCCTACGTTGCAAGAGTTTGCTGTATTCGATATTAATCTCCTTTTTCCTTGGTATGCTCCGCACGGCTGTTATGCCACGTGACAAACCAGCTGCAAAAGGAACATTCAAAGGCAAAATCAAACATTTCATAATAAAAGTAAATATGGCAATTTGGTGTGCGAGAAATACTAATCATAATAATGATAGTAATCATCTTTATCTAACGAGGGTAATACGGGACAGTACTTCAACTGAATAACTAGTGGCCCTCAAACTAAAACTATAAAACAAAAATTAAGTAACCAAAAAAACATATCGTTAAAGAAAAAAAACTGTAAGTATATATATGAAAAAGACTACAAAGAGTGAAAACTATATTACAATTATAAAATATCCTTACAGTGAATATCTACAAACTGTAATTACAATAAAACTACAACTAGGATAGGTCATGCGAGAGGAAGGTTGTGAAATGCCGGATTAGCATCAGAAATTTTCTGACATCCGGTCATGCATGTGCAGAAGTTACAAATATCACTGCTCATGCGCATAACGGATTTTTGTCCCTTATCGCTTCACTGGGGAAAACGTTTTACTTCCTGAGCTCTCTCCAGCGAGTGGCTTCTTTGGGCTGTTTTGAAAATACAGATTTCACTCAACTAGAATAAGGAGAAGACATTAACAAAAACCAGCTGAACACAGCGTTGGGTTGCGGAACTGAGACAATAGGGACTTTAAGATCCAACGACGCGGACGGCAACGAGAACGTTTAAAAAAAACAATTGGTTTAATAAGCAAAACAACAACTTCGCACGTGCATCACGCCTTTTTGTACATTTCTTTCCAGTTTTTGCACGACTACGACGTGAATATGCCTAACTTTGCGTTTTATGGAAGACGTAAACAAGCAACGACGAAACTTTGTTTGTCTTTCTGAGCTCGGCTACGGACCCTTGAAATTCAGCTTCAGGAGGGTTCGCCTAAATTTCACAAAGTAAGTGGGTAGGAATAATTGCTATTAAGAATGAAGGAACGCAAATCCACTTTTTAAGCGACGCTCTCGTTGTCGTCGCGTCGTTGGATCTTAAAGTCCCTAATTACGTCCTAATTAATCGGCAGATTATCCGGCGTCTGAGTTTAATATGTGAGCTCACGTTTACCGAAAACAAACACTGGGAAAGCAATATCGTGGAGATCGAAAGTCAGTCTAAATAAAAAGGTATCTTGTTCCATGTCCTGCAAATGCTATCTTATTTCAAAACGACGCCTTTTGAAACGAAACAATTCACGTGTTATGTCATTAAGTGAATAGGAAAATAAAATATATTTATTCGTTCCATCCCACCTAGTTATGTTTTTCCTGTATGTTTATTTCCTTTTGAGGCGTCGAATGATAGGTTTTAATTTTGCCCATGAGCTTTTGTGAACAACTTGAGTCAAGACAACCGAAGGTTTATGTCAAAACAAATCAATAGTAATCATTTTGCTGTCGCAAACAGGGTAAAAAACAATACAAACTTTGTCCAGGAGAAGTGACAGCTTTCTGGAGGGGAGTGATGGATATCTGAGAAAGTCTCTTACACTTGCATGGATCGACTAGAAAACTGAGTGAATCAAATTCCAGTTCAGTTCTTTCTGTAAAACAACCTGAAATTTGATTTATGAAGTTTCCTAACCCTAATCATAAAACTAAAGGGTCACTTGGTATTTATGGTGGCCATTCAGCGTTTTGCTAAAGCGGACCTTTATCTATCAGAGGTTTATCCTCCTAAAGGTTTCAGTTATCATCTCCTAACTGAATACCATCATCAGTACCTCAAAGAGCGAGTTTTCAATAATTTGCTGTCAAACGGAGAAAATCGTGAACACCTGAAAATTTTAAGGAATGATGATTGCGTAACCATAAAGTTCAGGACACATGAGGAAACCTCAAAGGAGTAAGGAGTTTTCAGGTTTTTTTTTTCTTTTCAGAAAAGGAAGGGCTTATAACTGGAATAGAAAAAGCGATTCGAAACAAAATACTTTTTGCATTTACTGGTTTCTAACTAAGCTTCAAAATGTAATAGTGGAAGCTTAGGGGAGGGCTTATCACCTGGAGGGCCATTTTCTTGTTTACCGGTAGATTGGCTTATAACTGAGGGGGCTTATAAATTGGGGGGACGGGGGGAGGCTTAAAAGCAGTATTTTATGGTAGCCTGTTCCAGACATTCAGATATTGGGGAATGCACAAAGAGAAAAAAAATTACCCTGCATTTTTTAATGCTCTATTTCTCACTATCTGAAGGCCTACAACAGGTTATCATAAGCTATACAGCTGTACGTTCTTATCTAGAACAGTGAAATGTAGAGTGATGTACACTTTATATAGACTGTATGCTTTAGAAGACCCCATTGAGAAGACTACTTTGAGTATCACACAACCCAAAAGCATTTTCTTGGGTAGCTGCTCTCATCATGCCTTGAGAGTGGGGTGCAAGGCCTGGTTTGAAATTGGGAATAGAATTTTGGATCAGACTTGAAATAGGGAAGGGAAAATCACATACAGTCCACTCCCCTCTAATTCAAACCTTCAAGGGAAATAGAAAAAAAGTTCGAGTTATCGGGAGTTCGAATTATCGAGGGCAAAATCATATAGAAAATGATCCGAAGGGAAATGAAAATTGGTTCAAGTTAGCGGGAGGTTCGAGTTATAGAGAGTTCGAGTTACCTGAACTGATTTTTTGAGGGTAGTACAGTTGTATTGAAACTGAATGTAGTGCTTTATAGAGTTAAAGTACAATATCTGCTCACAGCTATAATTGTTTAATTGTTTAGTTCCCTTAAAATTGATTATTTTGTGTTATAATATGAGGGTTTCCATCTAGGAAAGAGTTTACCCGAAGTAAATCTGCAATGACCAGTGGAAGCAAGTTTTCACCAATTCGTTTGGCTTATTATGTGTCAATAACCAAGTAAACTTTTAAGATGCCCTATGCTTCAGTAAGCTAAGGCTGTGTGCAAACTCAAGGAGGGGGTGGAGTTTAGCCCACAATGAAGGTAAACATTCTTTGTCAAGGCTCGTGGTTCTCATAGAAACTTCTCAAACGTGACCTTGAATTCTCTTTTTCACTGCTATTACATTGCATTCAATTACAAACAAAACCAGATTGTCGCGATAGACGTAAATCAGACACGGATTTCATGTTTGCAGTTCGAAAGGGCAGGAAGTATAGATTTTCCAACTGTACATAATAAAGGTTACCACAGCCGTTAAAAAACGGCCGCACATGTGTTTTATTCCAACGCGCACATGACCTAAACGCATTTTCTCTGCAAGAGGACGCTCCAAACACGATCAGTTTCAGTTATTCTTTCATCCTTACGTGAAACCTGCAAGTTAGCAACATTGCTTGACCAAAAAAGTCGATACTGTTGTGAAAACATGCAAACTTGTCACCAGTTCGGTTAGTATAAAGCTGTTTCATTTTCGATGCTTTTATAATGTTCTGATCAGCAAATTTTAAACGTGGTAAAGAACCGGGAAATTGGATGCAAAAAAGAACAAAACAAAACGAAATTTATTAAAGGGATCTCTAGCCAATTTAAACAACTTTCCTTTTCCGTATTAAACTGTGCGTTGAAATTGTCTTTGTTTGCATGTACTAATTGAGTTGGGAACCATGACAAGTTCCGCTTTTTGAATCAACAGTCAAATTTCAAACAACATGGCTCATGATCAGATAATGCAAAAGGCGCAGAATCACGAAGTTTTAAGAGGACGTTACCTAGTTCAGCTAACTTTTTAAAAACATGTTTTTATAAAAAGACTGAATGTTCTATTAGTTATAAAATTATTTCACTGTTATGTTATCCCATTGGCACAAGGAGGAAATAATTCTAATGTTCTTCTTCTATGCACTTTTAGATGCTTTCAGGTACTTTATCGATGACTTTTATGCTTGGGGAAGATATTTAGACTAACAAAACTGTCGATACCAGGTTACTCACCTTGTACAAAGCGTAATTATAGCATTGCTTACAGGACAAACTTTCACGAAAATATACCAAGAGTAGCTTTAAGAATGTTGTATTAAACACCTGCGGCCACAGGAGCCCTTAGCTGACTACTAACAAGAAGAAATAAGCACGAATAACTCTTTCTTAATGGTGAACGAGGTTACCGAGCTAGTGACGCTAAAACATTTTAAGTCAATCGAACGTCAATATAAGTTTTTATCTCCATTTCCAATATAAATATTATTGCACCAAACTTGCAATCAGCTACAGTGGGCTATAGCTGATGTCACACAGTGTGTCATATCAATGCGAATATGTCAAAAGTTTGAAAAAAACGGAGGAAGTTTCACTTTTCCCGATGAAGCATCTTGAAATTGCTTAAGAATGTATAATAATCTTTTCTGGACTCCAGTAAAGTGTAATGTGTTAAGCACCATGAGGGCACACATCTACCAATGAAATGGTTACCGCTTAGATAAACTTTTCTATCGTTTTTTAGATTCTCAGAACTCACGGAATTATTTCATCGGACGGTTAAACCTATATCGCTCATAATAAAAACAATGTTTCTCCAACATTTTTTGTTTTTCTAGCCTTTTCTATTTCTAGGTTTTAGTTTAAGTTTATAATACTAAAGACTTGCTGTAAATTTTGATTTGCTAGCCTTTTTGATACCTTACTCTATTAGCCTGTGTATAGACGCTCCTTTCTCCTCAGAAAAATCTCTCTTCCCGATTTTTTATTTTTTGAGGGGAGGGAGCGTCTATTTAAGGCTATACCCTTTATTCTTTTGTATAAAGTGCTAGATCGTTAGAGTCGACTTTTTGTTTGATGTTACTTATTGACATGATTTTTTTTTCTCAACGGTCAAGCCCGAATATAATTATCAAACGGTTTTTTATAAATAATAAATCTCTCAAAATTTTTACCCCTACTAATCTAGGTGGCTTTCTAATTTTTATAAAGTTGCTTAACAACCCTACCATTCTACCGACTCTGCGTTATTTGACTAAACTGGCGTCGAAGGCACAACTAGATTAGATAAGCGGGGGATCCTTCACAGCACGAATTTGTCAGCAAAGGTTAAAGATGTTGTACAGAAAATACGTGAGCGAACGTCGAGTCTTTTATAAACTTCTACACAAAGTTCCTGTATACAACTAATTATGATATAACTTGTTCCGCCCACACAGTTCACACACAACTAGAACTGCTTCGTATTGACAGCAATAACTGTGTAATAAGTGGCATAAGCGCTAAAAGCGCTGTAGCTGTCACAGTAGTCGAGAAAGCTAAAACAGATAAAAACATATTAATTTAATACACGTGTTGTTTCGGAAACTATGTAAATAAAGCACAAGGGAAGCTTTTTGCTTCGGTTTTGTGGGAAAAAAAAACCTCCATTAAGCTTTCATCAGGCTGCAAATAATTAATGTATTAAATAACAAATGCAAAAACTATCACACGTACACACAAAATTGAAATCGAGAGAAGAATTTCTCCAAATATTCTTTTCCTGAAAGTTATTCTGTTTTAACAAATTCAAATAAGTGCATTGAAACTGTGAATCTAAGATTTTATGCAAAATACCTGGTACTGAAAAGAAAGGGATAAAATTTATCGAATACTCAGAGCCACCTGCTAAAACGGATGTCAGCCAAGACAGTCGAAAATAAAGTTAACACAGCCTGGAAGAAGATCTGCCTACAAAATGAATTCCCTCCCTTTGTCCAGAATATATAACCCCTTTTACGGGGCTTCTTTAACTCCTGATTAAACTCCAGACTTGGGGTCATTTTTACTCCTGAAAAAGAGGTCTTTTAACTCCCAGTCTGGAGTTAAAATAACTCCGAAAATGGGGTTATTTTTACTCCTTACATGGGTTGTTTTTACTCTTTTTGGAGTTTCTTTTACTCTGAAAGTGGAGTAAAAAGTTTAGGTACAGGATAACTCCTTTTTTGGGATTATTTTAACTTCTCAACATCTGGGGGCATTTTTTCTCCTAAAAAAGAGTTCTTTAAACTCCTTTTTGGGGTTAAAATACCTCCCCCAAAAAATAACTCCACTGTAAGGAATTAAACTGAACCCCACTAGAGGAGTTATTATAACTCCTTGAAAATCAGTATGTAGGGTTCTTGTATTACCAATCTTGTTTTGAATCAGATATTTGGTGACAAGTACTTTTATCTCAGCAGGGTTTAAAAAAAAAAACCACTGACAGAATCGGCAAATTTATTACACTTTTTCTCTAATTTTCCTTGTAACGCGAAATTCGTCTCCGTATTATTAGACGCGCGAAAACAAGTAACGATAAGGTTTATATTGATCTTTTTTACCTCCTTTTGCATCTATAGTACGAGTTCGCTTTGTTAGAGGGAACTATACTAGTTCGATAAAAGCGAAAGTTTTGCCATATTCTTGCTGTTTTGATCGCTCGTGTAGAAATCGGTATCAAACTTCTGGCAGGTTTACGAGCAGCTAAACTGAATGTAGTGCTTTATAGAGTTAAAGTACAATATCTGCTCACAGCTATAATTGTTTAATTGTTTAGTTCCCTTAAAATTGATTATTTTGTGTTATAATATGAGGGTTTCCATCTAGGAAAGAGTTTACCCGAAGTAAATCTGCAATGACCAGTGGAAGCAAGTTTTCACCAATTCGTTTGGCTTATTATGTGTCAATAACCAAGTAAACTTTTAAGATGCCCTATGCTTCAGTAAGCTAAGGCTGTGTGCAAACTCAAGGAGGGGGTGGAGTTTAGCCCACAATGAAGGTAAACATTCTTTGTCAAGGCTCGTGGTTCTCATAGAAACTTCTCAAACGTGACCTTGAATTCTCTTTTTCACTGCTATTACATTGCATTCAATTACAAACAAAACCAGATTGTCGCGATAGACGTAAATCAGACACGGATTTCATGTTTGCAGTTCGAAAGGGCAGGAAGTATAGATTTTCCAACTGTACATAATAAAGGTTACCACAGCCGTTAAAAAACGGCCGCACATGTGTTTTATTCCAACGCGCACATGACCTAAACGCATTTTCTCTGCAAGAGGACGCTCCAAACACGATCAGTTTCAGTTATTCTTTCATCCTTACGTGAAACCTGCAAGTTAGCAACATTGCTTGACCAAAAAAGTCGATACTGTTGTGAAAACATGCAAACTTGTCACCAGTTCGGTTAGTATAAAGCTGTTTCATTTTCGATGCTTTTATAATGTTCTGATCAGCAAATTTTAAACGTGGTAAAGAACCGGGAAATTGGATGCAAAAAAGAACAAAACAAAACGAAATTTATTAAAGGGATCTCTAGCCAATTTAAACAACTTTCCTTTTCCGTATTAAACTGTGCGTTGAAATTGTCTTTGTTTGCATGTACTAATTGAGTTGGGAACCATGACAAGTTCCGCTTTTTGAATCAACAGTCAAATTTCAAACAACATGGCTCATGATCAGATAATGCAAAAGGCGCAGAATCACGAAGTTTTAAGAGGACGTTACCTAGTTCAGCTAACTTTTTAAAAACATGTTTTTATAAAAAGACTGAATGTTCTATTAGTTATAAAATTATTTCACTGTTATGTTATCCCATTGGCACAAGGAGGAAATAATTCTAATGTTCTTCTTCTATGCACTTTTAGATGCTTTCAGGTACTTTATCGATGACTTTTATGCTTGGGGAAGATATTTAGACTAACAAAACTGTCGATACCAGGTTACTCACCTTGTACAAAGCGTAATTATAGCATTGCTTACAGGACAAACTTTCACGAAAATATACCAAGAGTAGCTTTAAGAATGTTGTATTAAACACCTGCGGCCACAGGAGCCCTTAGCTGACTACTAACAAGAAGAAATAAGCACGAATAACTCTTTCTTAATGGTGAACGAGGTTACCGAGCTAGTGACGCTAAAACATTTTAAGTCAATCGAACGTCAATATAAGTTTTTATCTCCATTTCCAATATAAATATTATTGCACCAAACTTGCAATCAGCTACAGTGGGCTATAGCTGATGTCACACAGTGTGTCATATCAATGCGAATATGTCAAAAGTTTGAAAAAAACGGAGGAAGTTTCACTTTTCCCGATGAAGCATCTTGAAATTGCTTAAGAATGTATAATAATCTTTTCTGGACTCCAGTAAAGTGTAATGTGTTAAGCACCATGAGGGCACACATCTACCAATGAAATGGTTACCGCTTAGATAAACTTTTCTATCGTTTTTTAGATTCTCAGAACTCACGGAATTATTTCATCGGACGGTTAAACCTATATCGCTCATAATAAAAACAATGTTTCTCCAACATTTTTTGTTTTTCTAGCCTTTTCTATTTCTAGGTTTTAGTTTAAGTTTATAATACTAAAGACTTGCTGTAAATTTTGATTTGCTAGCCTTTTTGATACCTTACTCTATTAGCCTGTGTATAGACGCTCCTTTCTCCTCAGAAAAATCTCTCTTCCCGATTTTTTATTTTTTGAGGGGAGGGAGCGTCTATTTAAGGCTATACCCTTTATTCTTTTGTATAAAGTGCTAGATCGTTAGAGTCGACTTTTTGTTTGATGTTACTTATTGACATGATTTTTTTTTCTCAACGGTCAAGCCCGAATATAATTATCAAACGGTTTTTTATAAATAATAAATCTCTCAAAATTTTTACCCCTACTAATCTAGGTGGCTTTCTAATTTTTATAAAGTTGCTTAACAACCCTACCATTCTACCGACTCTGCGTTATTTGACTAAACTGGCGTCGAAGGCACAACTAGATTAGATAAGCGGGGGATCCTTCACAGCACGAATTTGTCAGCAAAGGTTAAAGATGTTGTACAGAAAATACGTGAGCGAACGTCGAGTCTTTTATAAACTTCTACACAAAGTTCCTGTATACAACTAATTATGATATAACTTGTTCCGCCCACACAGTTCACACACAACTAGAACTGCTTCGTATTGACAGCAATAACTGTGTAATAAGTGGCATAAGCGCTAAAAGCGCTGTAGCTGTCACAGTAGTCGAGAAAGCTAAAACAGATAAAAACATATTAATTTAATACACGTGTTGTTTCGGAAACTATGTAAATAAAGCACAAGGGAAGCTTTTTGCTTCGGTTTTGTGGGAAAAAAAAACCTCCATTAAGCTTTCATCAGGCTGCAAATAATTAATGTATTAAATAACAAATGCAAAAACTATCACACGTACACACAAAATTGAAATCGAGAGAAGAATTTCTCCAAATATTCTTTTCCTGAAAGTTATTCTGTTTTAACAAATTCAAATAAGTGCATTGAAACTGTGAATCTAAGATTTTATGCAAAATACCTGGTACTGAAAAGAAAGGGATAAAATTTATCGAATACTCAGAGCCACCTGCTAAAACGGATGTCAGCCAAGACAGTCGAAAATAAAGTTAACACAGCCTGGAAGAAGATCTGCCTACAAAATGAATTCCCTCCCTTTGTCCAGAATATATAACCCCTTTTACGGGGCTTCTTTAACTCCTGATTAAACTCCAGACTTGGGGTCATTTTTACTCCTGAAAAAGAGGTCTTTTAACTCCCAGTCTGGAGTTAAAATAACTCCGAAAATGGGGTTATTTTTACTCCTTACATGGGTTGTTTTTACTCTTTTTGGAGTTTCTTTTACTCTGAAAGTGGAGTAAAAAGTTTAGGTACAGGATAACTCCTTTTTTGGGATTATTTTAACTTCTCAACATCTGGGGGCATTTTTTCTCCTAAAAAAGAGTTCTTTAAACTCCTTTTTGGGGTTAAAATACCTCCCCCAAAAAATAACTCCACTGTAAGGAATTAAACTGAACCCCACTAGAGGAGTTATTATAACTCCTTGAAAATCAGTATGTAGGGTTCTTGTATTACCAATCTTGTTTTGAATCAGATATTTGGTGACAAGTACTTTTATCTCAGCAGGGTTTAAAAAAAAAAACCACTGACAGAATCGGCAAATTTATTACACTTTTTCTCTAATTTTCCTTGTAACGCGAAATTCGTCTCCGTATTATTAGACGCGCGAAAACAAGTAACGATAAGGTTTATATTGATCTTTTTTACCTCCTTTTGCATCTATAGTACGAGTTCGCTTTGTTAGAGGGAACTATACTAGTTCGATAAAAGCGAAAGTTTTGCCATATTCTTGCTGTTTTGATCGCTCGTGTAGAAATCGGTATCAAACTTCTGGCAGGTTTACGAGCAGCACTCATAAATGCATATCTTTTTCATGAGACTTTTTTTTGTAAGGTAGAACGTCTAGAGATATACAAACTGACGTTTATATTCACATCCCCCGTGCGTCAATAATAATTTAAATTGGACTTTTCGATGGGATGAACGTTTTAGTTCATTAATTGTTAACAGTTGTAAGAAGTTCCAAAAAAATAATAATATGTTAAAATAATTAACTCTCACATCCGTACCTTATATGTCAGTTCTCTTGGGCTAAGTAACACCTTAAGAGCTCTGCGAAACTGACTCTATAAAGCTAATACCTTCTGTAATATCCCCTCACCAGGTGGTTGTAAGAACATATGACGTAGACATGAACCATTAAGAGGGCACGAATCTCTAAAACCACCTGAGAAATTAATTACTAAATATCGCTCAAAACGTCAAAAGAAGGAATAATAAACGGCACAGCAAATACAAAAGGAGCCAGGGATGGACAAACTTGAAGACGATTGCAAGGGATTGAAATTTTGGTTTTTCAAAACTTGCTAGCCTAACGGCCTTTCAGAGTTCGTTTTTGTTGTTTATAAGGTTTGATGTAATGCTTGGGAAACGAGAATGACTAATTGGCGTGGGTGGGTAGTGGTTCGTGGGTCGTGCGTGTTGGGTAGTGGGTTGTGCATCGTACTTCGTGCGTCGTGGGTCGTGGGTCGTGCGTCGTGCGTGATAGCTCATGCCTCTTTGACAAGACTCTTGCTCGTAGAATTTAAAGACACCGTCTTCCTTTACACGACCCTTCGCATTTATGAAAAAATTTTCTCCGATAAAAATCAGTTAAGCAAATTTATCAGCGAAATATGTTCTCCCCGATCCTCTCCCATTTTCCCTTGTGTTCCTCGCACACTCTAGATCTGCGTTCTTAATGAAATGCACATTCGTCCAAGAAAACCACTTCCGGTTAAAAGAAAACTCTAAGATAATCGCGGCTTTTGTTTGACATTCTATCTCGCTGGAAAAAAAACTTCCAGTATGTTTTTTAGACCAAATTAGGCACTAAGTTTAGGGAAGACAATTCCATAAAAAAAATTACGACCAATCATCACCATTTATTAATAAACACTTCAATTCTACTTTTGACCCTAATCACAGATCTAGTGGCAGTCTGTGTAAAGATGTTTTAACTTGGGCTGATCACAATTGTTCGTAGGCCTAGTACATACACTTCCAGGGAAAATCACAGGGTGTGAAAACGTTCGTACCCTCAATTTTCCGGGCTTTTTCTGTAAGTTATTCATAAATGATATTAAATAATCTCGTAATGAAATTGCCAATTTCATAACGAGATTATTTTATGGTTTGTCAGTGATACCTTTACACCCAACTCGCGTACCCAGTTTTTCGCCTTTAATGTTAATCATTTGCACGAATTTTCACCACTTCACCACCTCTGCTAGCAAATTTCCTCGGATACTAAAAGTTGTGATAAAAAAATGCAGGCCGCACCAACTAACAAATAATGAAAGCGTGTTAATATTGTAAGGAGAGAGTTTCCCATCAATTCTCTATCTGCCTCGGATTTCGTGTCCGGCTTTTAGGTGTTGCCTTTGAAGTTGTCAGTTTTAGCCGTAATTTACATTGACTTTGCATTGAAATGTTTTAGTTCTTTTAAATTATACACATTTCTCTTTCAATGTTGTAGTAACTAGTTTCTAAATAATTATACAGCTTAGTCACTGAATAACTGGATCTTTGGCCTCTTCAAATACCAACCGTCCGTAGTTTTAAGTTTTGACATCTTAACGAAACCTGAGCAAAGGAAACTCGAATTCTTTTGCACAGCTTTACTGCAGAATCTTTGGAAGTTTCCGAAATTCATTTCCTTGACTGAAATTTAATTTTCAGTCATTTACTTTAGCTTATAAACTTAAAAGCTGAATTTATCCAGATATGTTTTCAGTTTTCAGCTGATTCAGCCTTCTGCCCACCGGTTTTGTGATGTTGTAATAAGTTGATCGGTTAGTATAAATAGAGCACTGTTATCCCGGTTTTTCGGTTTATATTGCGGATTTACATGCGATGGATGATTTACATTTTGGATGCACATTTATGTATCATTTACGTCCAAGAGCTGAAGATTAAACTGTTGTAGTTCAAGCTTGAGTGCTGTCCTGTTTCCAGTTGTAGCAGATCCTAGTAACTTGGAACAGTGACGAGTTCCTTTCCCGCTAGCCAAACAAGTTGCAGACTTAGTTTTCCCCTTTGTTGTTCATACGCCGAAGCCGCTCGAATTCTCTCAACGCTTATTTCTCCGATTTGTGCTTGAAAGGGCAAAACCTATCGGGGGTGTTAAGAAAACTCAGACCTCGAAAACACATACCTCAGACCCCAAAAAACTCGGAGCCCTCGAAAAACGCAGACCCCTTGGTGTCTCGAAAACTCCGACCCTCAATATTTTTCAAATATTACAACTAACTGTAGTCCGCGAGCAGCCTCTCTCTCTTTCCCATCCACAGAAGCGAATGGTTTTGCAGAAATACCGCCTGAGCAAAAGTTTGCACTGGCAAACAATTTCGACAAAACCAAATTTTTGATCTAGAGCAATGAAGTTTTGTTCCAACAGATGAACGATTCGACCCTAGCCAAGGGAACCATACATTGGACAAAAAAGGTTACTTTGGGACTCGAGTTAGAACTCCTCAAACAAACAGTAGCTGAGACTCTCATAAACCTTTTTTGTTTCTGTTTCCCGCCCTTCCTGTCCCGTCAACGAGAACGCTTGTTGTCTAGGACAAAGGAAGTATCAAATAAAGAAAAGTAATTTTATGATTGTTGGTTTGCGGGAATAAAGTTGTGTTCTGAAAATAAACAGTTGAAAGATCCCTTCGGACAACCTGTGTTACGAGTGAGTCCACTTTTGATGGAGAGAATGGGTACATTGGAATAAGTTCCAATTCCTAAAACAGAAAGAAAAAATAGTGATAGATTACAGTTTTGTACATTATTAACGACCCCTTCTTTCTCCCTCCTCTGTGAAATTCGCTTGCCATCAAGGACATCATAAATGGCACTCGAATATAGACACATTTTCCAACAAATATTTGTTGTAGTATTAATTGGACAGTCACTAACATGCGAGAATGCTCTTCATTTTGGGGCAAGGTGGGCCTATCTTGCCTGCTCGGGTAGCCAATCAGAACACAGGATTCGCTTAATCTTGCCCGTTCGAGGATTCAGTCATATGATAATTAGACAATGCTACATGACAGCTGGATCTGACCCGTCCCCAGTCGTCTTCGCGTAAAGCGCGGCGGGAACAGGCGCTGATGGGAAGGGAGAAGAGAGGAAAGTGTCTCTCTTCCTCGCTTTCCTCCTTCCCATCACACACCGCGCGCCACTAGTGTGGGGTTGTGACAGACGAATGGGGAAGAGTCAGTAGATGGCTCGGCAAAGGCATCCATCTGCAACAAATGAGGATTAGATAAAGCAAAATGGTCGGCTTATGATAGATAGATTTGTTTCAACAGCAGTTCCAAAAATAATTAATGTTTTTCTATGCAGCAGTCACTGATTTCAGTTCGTCTGTAAACAAGCAGGCGTTAGAAACTGCAATTATTACTTACAGGAAATTTCAGAGGTATTATTTGCCCATGTTTTGTCCGATTGTTAATAAAATCTGAGCTGCAAGTTTACCAAAATCTGACAGCGTCAATGACGTCACAATCAGACCTGCTATACTAAAATTAATCAGTTTTACATTAATGCCTCTTACGTTAGTTGGAATAAAATTTGATATCACATCATCTAATAACACTGCGATCGGATATACCATCAGCGCCCTTTTTATAATACATTTTATGCGTGCTATGGCGCAGCAGGAATACAAAATTCAAAGTTAACTCTAGGAATGCTTTTTGAACTAAACTAAATAGAGGGTGGAAGAAAGATATAGGCAAAGTGAAAACGTGTTTTTCCGTGCTTACCTTTCAGCTTATTATCAACGAGCCATTGGCGAGGCGGCAGCAGAATAGAGCCGCGCAAGACTTGGCAATAGGCAAAAAAATTCTCGATCGAGCTTCAAAAAGTGTAACCCGTAGCCTGATGTATTGTAGATTCCCCTGAGACCAATGGTGTGGCAGTTGTCAACCAATCAAAGGGCGTTACCTGGCGCACGGGCTGAAGTTGAATGTGGTGCGGTTTTAAAAATACAAAATTTCTTACAAGCTTCCTATGTTTATTTAACTGAACCTGGCCCCGGCAGTCAAGAAACATGAGTACCTGATTAATTGGTTTAATTTTGGGGCCATCAATGTAAAGTTTTAACGAAGAAAAGCTTGTAAAACGATAAAAGTGTTCCATGTGAAACAAGCAATTCTCACCACACTAAAAAGGATCAGATTACACGAGGAGAAAGCTTGATAGGAAGGATATAGTCACTTCTGTTGGAAAAATCTGATGTTGGGGAAAAAATCTAACCAGCAAACGAAAAACTAAGAAAAAAACAAGAATTACAAGCCTAAAGCGAACGACAGAGGAAAAGAAAAAAACTCTATCTGTTTCGAAACCTGGCCGAGTTATGAAATGAAAATAAAATACCGACGTGCCGTACATCACATGTCCTTGTAAACATTTCAAACAGCGCAGCGAATCATTCTAAGTTTCAATCGGGTAACCAAAAGCCTCGGGGAATTTGAAAGGGGGTTTAAATGGTTAAACTGCACAAATATTTATCTACAAAGTGAAACCGAACCGACATTAATTAAATTTTGTAGCTGCACTGGTAAGAGAAATGATAATGCTTATTTCCCACTAAATAAGCAATTCCTTTCTTCTGCAAATAAAAGATCCCCCGTCATGACACTTCAAACTATAATATAGCAGGTTCGTAAAGCCACAGGAGTCTGAGGACTGACTATTCTCCGGAACCTTGATACATGCATAACACCTTTTTATTGACAGTGAAGAAAAATAATCCTTGCAAAAGGAAGGGACCAGGAAACTGTCAAATGTGGAAAAAAAGGAATGCTATTCCATGCCAGCAAAATACGCATGATTTACTCGTTGGCACTATATCGATAGGTATACCTAGTGCAGTAGTTAAAAAATATATTTTTTTTAGTTTGTTATTATAAACTATCCTAATTAGCCCAATAAGATGCGAAAACGAAGACGAACTGACTAGACTAAAGAAACAGCTGTACCTACACTGTACATATAAAATGCCACTTGGGGTGTAGGACAGTCGGTGTGCAAAAGGAAAAAAAAAGGAAAACACTGCATTTTATGTCTCTGTCACTTAACTGGAAAAAGTAAAATAAGTAACAAAGACATTACACAAAAACAATCAAATTTTACACGGTCAGGCCCGTTTCAGATCAAAGCCGAACGTTTCATGAGCTGAACCTAAAACATTGAATTAAGTACATGGTAAGTTTGGCGTCTGAATCAATAAGGAACGCATATTTGCACGGCTTGGCCGTTCTTCCCTCCTAGCCCGGCTAGAAGTTTCGACTTTGGTTCAGACGCCGAACTTTTCATGTGCCGAACTAAATGCATTAATTATTATTAAAGTATTTGCGGTACTACTTAGCTCAGCTTAAGAAAATACAGAACCGCCTGATTGTTTTTTTTACTTCTCTCCTTACTTCTCTGATCCTCCAACAGTACAGGAGCGGGTTCAATGTTGAGTTTAAGTAAACTACAGTTCCTGTATACTGCCTGGCAAGATAAATTGACAAAGGCATCCCCCTTTGAGGTGTTAACGCTGCCACTACAGCAAACGGCAGATAACAAACAACCAATGTTACCTGTATCCAGATCGCACTGTACACTGCCTTTCTGTATCGAACTATGTTCAGTGGAATTGATTGGCTCGGTTGTCTTTGACGCATCTGAATCTGATTACGCCGCAAAGTAAAAAAAATTTTTGTGTAAGCGAAAACTGAGGTGACTAGACACACAGATATGCCTAGGTGATAAAACCACAACCTTATGCGAAGATCCCAAAAATTGCCCGCCGTGATCAAAATGGACAAAACCCAGATAAAGATCACAGCTACAAGTGTTCTCTTAAATGTTACAAAGTTTCTGTATCTGAGTCCCAGTGACAGCGCCAGGAGTCTGTCCACGCTTATTGCAGTTGATATTGCCAAAGACACTGAGCCTAAAGTGTTGCTTATGATAAAATTTGCCTTTGTCGCGTAATAGCAAATATTCCATCTTTGCTTCACCACAGACATCCAATGGACAACGCTCGTAGGCTCTACAATGACACCAACACAGATATCAGTTGTCGCCAAGCTACCAAACAAAACTTTGGAAGGTAGATGAAGCGAAGACACCTTAGGCAGAGCTGCTAGGACCAGAGTGTTGCCCAGAAACGCCGTAATGGACGGAAAAATATTTAACACTGAAATAAAAATCAACTCGCTGTGTACTTTTCCAGTGAACTCTCCATTGCAATAAAGTTCAGTTGTTAATTTCTGGCTTACTCCTCCAGTAAAATTATTTAACACCATTTTTTTCTTTTAAGTTCGAGTTTCGAGTGTGCAATCCTACGTGGCTAGTTTTTTTAAATGTTTGCTGTATTCGATATTAATCTTCTTTCTGCTTCACGGTCTTAGTCAGCATAATACCACGTGACCAACCACCTGGAAAGGGATCTTTAAAAGGCAAAATCAAGCATTTCATAATGTAAGTAAATATGTCAGTTTGGTGTGCGACAAATACTTCTAATCATATCCTTTCTAAATTCTGAACGACGTTAAACCATTAAAGATTGACAGCTGGCCCCGGTTGTTCAAAAGATGAATAGAGAGCTTAAACAGGAGACGTTCGCCGACCTGAAGTCACTCGCGCCAGTGTGAATTTACTACGCATGTGTTTACGTCCGTGAGTGGTTAAATTGTTGTCTGAAAACCAAGGAAAGACCCTTCCAACATTCATTCAGCTTTTTCAGAGATGTAAACATCAGGTTAACGTTAACAGTCTCTAACGCTATTTTTGGACTCGATTGGTTGACCTGAGCTAGCTTTAGCTGTGTGAAGAACTCGAAGATGTCAAGATTTACGGGATTTGCCGAAGATTTACTCGATCTCGTCCATGCGAATCATCATCAAGTAAACACACATCTTACGTAAGAGGGCTTCATCTTCTTGTAACTTTAAGGGCCGATATTTTCGACAGCATGAATTGCTATTTTCTTTTTAATGAAAAAATATTAAATTAAAATGTTATGACTACATGTTTTTGTGCATCGGGTTGATTACATGTAACCTGAAAACGATTTTTAGCTAGACGCGTGTGATTTTGGCGCAATCATTAACGTTGAAAATGAACAGCAAACTAAATATAATTCGTGATTAATGAAACTGCAAATAAAATGGACCGCTAATGTCGCTATCAGGTATGGTAACTTTTGTTTGCTTGATTTGTGTCTACACAATCAAAGAGTACAAGACGGCATTTCACGCTCGACGAATAAATGTGAAAGATGAAATATTCATATCAGAATGGGACAACGAAAATGCACGAGGCCACTTCAGCGACAATGATCTTTCTGAAATTCGAAATGCTGTGACTGAAGACATTTTTAACACAGACAAGACGTCGCGCAGTGACTCACGTTATACAAAACTCGTTGCTTAATCTTCGCTTTTCGCGCCACAAACGCCGTACTCGTGTACTCGATCCAGACCGGGCGCAACCTTCCTGACGTACGTGACCTCAAGAACGTCCGCTGCTTAAGTTGTCTAATAACGCTATCCACTGGATAAATCTCTATACAGCGGATAACACAATTGGTTTTCCTAACACGAATTCGCTGGAGAGCGGTGATTTATAAAAATTATTCGGTGTACATTGTTAACCATTGTTTGAACTGCGGCATGGTGGGTAAAATGTCATCGGCTCGCCTAGCTATGGGAATTGTCCACTTACGGGAATGTAAGTGTCGCCAGTGCCCGTGTCGTTGATGCTAGGTTAAAGTCTTGGTAATGGAATTGTACTTTTTACCCAGAATGGTCGTATCAGGAGGGGTTTTGATCAAAGCTTAAGCGTATAGAGTGTTTTCACATGACGTCACGGCAGCCATATTGGTGTCACAAAAATTAAAACGGCGGCCATTTTGGTATCGCAAGCCAGTCCTGTGGAAGTTGAACTCTTTTCTTACGCAAACGCTTTCTTTTGTTCAAATATATTTGCATAGATGCTGGCCACGTGAGTGAAAACGTTCTATACCCACCTCCTGTTTTAAACTTGAAAACTGAACACAAAGTGCGAGTTAATTGAACGGCCAATATAAGAATTTGGGAAAGGAAACAACATTGATGGCGAAATGATTAATTTCAGGATAGAGTGCTACCCAGAAAGACGCATAATACTGTATTTAAAATTAACCATTAACTCAGTGTTATTCGCCTAAGGCGAAGTGAATATTCACTGACCTGTCAACAGTAAGTTACCAATATGACTGATCTTGAAACGAATAATAAGAGAAAAAACAACAGGAACAAGAACTGACCCAAAATATTTGACAGTTCAGTCTCAATTATCCACGCATTCAACATGTTGTCGTACTGACTCATAGTGACTCATAGTGAAGCAATGCAATAATTTCTTTACTGAAAAACTGGCTTTTTTTGCCCGTCGTTTTGTGAAGAATCACTTTTAAAGATACCTTATTCTTGTTTATTTTCTCGATTTTTGAGAAATTTAATGTGGGCGTACAAAAGATTGCCCGGTACTAAGCGCGCGAAATTTCACCCCATAATAGTATCAAAATGATAAGAGTTTTAAGTGCTCTGAGTCCGGGCCTTGTGATGAATTGTTCTGAATTGTTCTGGTTCACTGCTTTCTTCAGCTTGTAATTTAGCCAAAGCCTCGCTCTTTAGTGCAGCCATCAAAGTCCCATTTAGGGTTCTTGTAACTACCACTGTTTTTAATCAGATATTTGGTGACAAATACCTTTATCTCAGGGTTTCGAAAAAATAAAACACTGACAGAATCGGGAAATTTAATTTACTGCACTTTTTCTTTAATATTCTTGTAACGCGAAATTCGTCTCCCTATTATTAGACGCGCGAAAACAAGTAAGTATAAGGTTTATATTGATCTTTTTTACTTCCTTTTGACTCTATAGTACGAGTTCGCTTTCTTAGAGGGAACTAGTTCGATAAAAGTGAAAGTTTTGCCATATTTTTGCTGTTTTAATTGCTCGTGTAGACATCGGTATCAAACTTCTAGCAGGTTACGAGCAAGACTCATAAATGCAGTAACTTTTTTATGAGACAGTTTTTTGTAAGGTAGAACGTCTAGAGATGTACATGTATACACTGACGTTTATATCCACATACCCGTGCGTCAATAATAATTTAAATTGGACTTTTCGATGAGATGAACGTTTTAGTTCATTANCAAAAGATTGCCCGGTACTAAGCGCGCGAAATTTCACCCCATAATAGTATCAAAATGATAAGAGTTTTAAGTGCTCTGAGTCCGGGCCTTGTGATGAATTGTTCTGAATTGTTCTGGTTCACTGCTTTCTTCAGCTTGTAATTTAGCCAAAGCCTCGCTCTTTAGTGCAGCCATCAAAGTCCCATTTAGGGTTCTTGTAACTACCACTGTTTTTAATCAGATATTTGGTGACAAATACCTTTATCTCAGGGTTTCGAAAAAATAAAACACTGACAGAATCGGGAAATTTAATTTACTGCACTTTTTCTTTAATATTCTTGTAACGCGAAATTCGTCTCCCTATTATTAGACGCGCGAAAACAAGTAAGTATAAGGTTTATATTGATCTTTTTTACTTCCTTTTGACTCTATAGTACGAGTTCGCTTTCTTAGAGGGAACTAGTTCGATAAAAGTGAAAGTTTTGCCATATTTTTGCTGTTTTAATTGCTCGTGTAGACATCGGTATCAAACTTCTAGCAGGTTACGAGCAAGACTCATAAATGCAGTAACTTTTTTATGAGACAGTTTTTTGTAAGGTAGAACGTCTAGAGATGTACATGTATACACTGACGTTTATATCCACATACCCGTGCGTCAATAATAATTTAAATTGGACTTTTCGATGAGATGAACGTTTTAGTTCATTAATTTTTAACAGTTGTAAGAAGTTCCAAAAAAATAATATGTTAAACTAATTAACTTTCACATCATACCTTGATATGTCAGTTCTCTTGGGCTAAGTAACACCTTTAGAGCTCTGCGAAACTGACTCTATAAAGCTAATACGTTCTGTAATATCCCCTCACCAGGTGGTTGTAAGAACATGTGACGTAGACATGAACCATTAAGAGGGCACGAATCTCTAAAACCACCTGAGAAATTAATTACTAAATATCGCTCAAAACGTCAAAAGAAGGAATAATAAAAGGCACAGCAAATACAAAAGGAGCCAGGGATGGACAAACTTGAAGACGATTGAAAGGGATTGAATTTTGGTTTTTGAAAACTTGCTAGCCTAAAGGGCTTTCAGAGTTCGTTTTTGTTGTTTATAAGGTTTGATGTAATTCTTTGGGAGACGAGATTGACTAATTGGCGTGGGTTGGTAGTGGGTCGTGGGTCGTGAGTCTTGGGTAGTGGGTTGTGCATCGTACTTCGTGCGTCGTGCGTCGTGCGTCGTGCGTGATAGCTCATACCTCTTCGAGGAGACTCTTGCTCACGTAGAATTTAAAGGCACCGTCTTTCTTCACACGACCCTTCACATTCATGAAAAAGTTTCTCCGATAAAAATTAGTAAAGCAAATTTATCAGTGAAATATGTCCTGTTCGCAGGCTATGTCCTCCCCGGTCCTCTCCCATTTTCCCGTATGCTCCTCGCACACTCTGCGTTCTGAGTCTTAATGAAATGCACATGCCCCCATGAAAACCACTTCCGGTTAAAAGAAACTCTAAGATAATCGCGGCCTTTGTTTCATATTCTATGTCGTTGGAAAAAACCCTTCCAGAATGCTTTTTAGACCAAATTAGGCACTAAGTTTAGGGAAGACAATTCCATAAAAAAAATTACGACCAATCATCACCATTTAAACACTTCAATTCTACCTTTGACCCTAATCACAGATCTAGTGGCAGTCTGTGTATAGAAGTTTTACCTTGAGCTGATCACAGTTGTTTGTAGGCCTAGTACATACACTTCCAGGAAAAATCACAGGGTGTGAAAACGTTCGTGCCCTCAATTTTCCAGGCTTTTTCTGTGAGTTATTCTTAGATGATATGAAATAATCTCGTTACGAAATTGAAGACATGAACATATGCTTGTTTTGTTTGTTTTTGATACCTTTAGGGACCGATCGTTTATTACGTCCCAGGGGGGAGGGGGGGCCGGGGGTTTTCAAAAAAGTGTGGTGTATGAAAACTGTCCACCCCCAAAATCACTTCATCTAAAAATTTCACTTATCCCCCCATCACCCC